GGAAAGAATATCTATATACATATATATATATATACACACACATCAAAAAAGTTAACCAAATCCTGATGTTGAGTTTTTGAGCTGATTGTTAAATTCTCTGCTGTGTGCAGTTGGGTTATTGTATTACCCCAGACTTGTGGGTGAACTGTCTCAGTGCTGGTAGTAGCTGTGATGCAGTTTGTGATCTACCTGTCACTCTTGTTTATTGGATGAAATAAACTATCATTTCTGTATAATGAAGGTCTCTACGACTAGAATAAAACCATCTCTCTTTCTCTTGCTCTTTCTCTGGGTGATTTTCAAACTGTGTTTAATTATAACCTAATTTTTTCATCCCTTAGAGCTTAGGAAGCTATGCATGCGAGCAGGTGCTATCGCTGATAGGGAAGGTGGAACGGAGCTGCAGTAGAGTGAAACAGCTCATCAGATGTGGAAATTAACTCCCCTTCTCCACTGTAAAGGAAAATGCATGGAGGTGCTTCTGTGACACAAAACTGCTTGGTTCATAAAAAGGTATTTTTGCCTGGGCTGTTTGTTGGAGCACAGCAAGCAGGTGTAGTTTCTCTGTCAAGTGCTGTCTCTTGGGCCTAAATATGAAGCACAGGCTACCCACAACCTAACTCATGTGGCCAGTTCCTCCTTGGAAGTTGCTTTTAGGCTGAAGTGGGATTTCTCCCCTGGTATAAACAGGGTAAACCTGTTCCCACTGTCTCCATGCCAGAACAAGAGGGGTATGGGTCTCAGATCGTGGTCGCTGCTTCTCAGAGTGACGGCCGCATTTGTCCGTAATTTGTGAACGTAGCCCTGTCATCCCAAGGATTGCAGTGGGTTCCTTAAGCTGCTGTGCAAGGGGGCTCCAGCACTACTTCTGCAGGAAGACACCAGCAGTGTTGGGTTGCTCACTTAAATCGCTGTAACATTGATGCCTGGTTTAGCCCTGAGTGCTCTTGGCTGCAGCCGCCTGTGCTGCTTGTGGACTCTCCCTGTACCCTAGCAAGACTTACTAATAAGCTAAAAATCACCTTGAAGATCTCATTCACAGTAGATGCAGGTGTGGGTTGAGTGACTGGACCAGGTCTCTAGTGCTTCCCTCCTGTGTGTGTTCTAACTCGCTCTGTCTTGCATGTTTTTAGGGGTTGTAACTTCAGCTTCTGCTCAACTGAGGCAATAACCATTGCTTGCCCTACCCTGGCCTATTTCTTTTCCTCACTGGAACTGTCGTATCTATCCCTGGTGTTATATATAGGGTTGTTCTTAAAGAATGTATTTTTGAAGGCAACTATGTATGTGTTCAAGTAACTAGCAGTGTTATTTTGCAAAACTAGAAACCTCTAAGTACATTCTGACAAGAATACCAGCTACCCTGCCTAGGTGAGGTAAACTCCTCTCCACTGATCTACAACCTTGTCAAAAAATGTGTCCTCTTCACAGCGTAACATCTGTTTCCTGTTGTTTGGTACTTAGGCCCTGTAGGAAGTATTTTTGTACTCTTCTTCAAATCAGAGGTGCAGAAGTGGTAGAGTTACTCCAATTTAAAGCAATTTTGTGTCAGCTGAACAGTAGTTCAGCTCCTGGTTCGCTTCAAGTAAAGGTGGTGTCAGGGAAACTCTCCTGAAGGGACCAGGGTGAAAAATGAAATGCTAGCCAAGAGAAATGTCTTGGGCTTGGCAGCAGTTTGCCTACAGGAAAATATTCATGGACGCAAAGGGAAACCACCTTCCCAGGGCAGGGGCTTCTAGAGCAGAGCCAGCACTTTCTTTAATAAAGAAGTAATTATTTTTTTTCCCTTTTTCTGGCTAACATTTAAGGTGATCTAAACAGAAGAAATACAACTTGTCAGTGCCCATCTGAATACATTTATTCAGAAAGCAAATCTGTAACAGGATTAAGTCACCTCTGCAACAGACTGCAGACCTTCACTGGTCTTGTCTCCTTCACAGTACGAGAGTAGAACATCCAATAAATATTTATTTCATTTAGAATACTCTATTAAATCACAGCCCTGTCCCTGTTAGTTATGGTACAGATTTATGAACAGCCTGTGCAGCCATAAACACTGCAGAAGGCTTAGTCTCTCTTCAAGGAATATACAGCATTTTACAGAGATACACTATGTACACAAACCTGTGCAGCCAGGAGCTTGGCAGCCTGTGTCACTCGTGTGGTGCTAACAACAGGTACCACTGGTGCCATTCAAATGAAAGGAGTTCAAAAAACCGCTTCCGTCTTCCTGTGGTGAGTTCACAGGGAAGCACTCCTTGTTCTGTCTATGCTTTTTTCAATTGTATATAGAAAAATCAAGATGAACCATTTGAAGGACAAAAAAACCAAACCCAACCAAAAAAAGCCCCAACTTAATCTGCTGCTGGCATTAGAAGAAAAGCTCTCTCTACCATGCAGTGTAAAGCTTGACCAACTTGAAACTGAAGAAATAAATGGTCTCTCTTTTTGTTGTTAACAAACCCAAAAATGGATGCAGTATTCCTGTGCTTGCATCTCTTGACATAGGGTAATAGGGAGGTGGTGTGTGCTTCTTGAGCCCAGGCTCATGTTTGGCTCACACAGCTGTGACAGTCGAGTCCTTTAAAGCTCCCCTGCGTTCTTCCTTAGAAATCCATTGCTCAAACCTAACCATCTTAAGAACAGGCAGTTCTTGGCTGAAAGGCAGATTTCATGGCAGGATACCCAGCTGCAGTTCACTTCACCACTTGCACATCCAAGGGCTTGGCTTTGCTGCTGCTTCAGGGGCTGTCTCTTCCCAGGATGTTTTGTTTTCTCCTTGCAATTACAGCTACAGCTTCAAGGAAGTGCCAGCTGATACCTCTATTGCTGATGTGTGGCCAAGGAACTTGTGATGGTGGCCACAGGATTTTGGATTCTACCCATCTAATGCACTTCTTACCAAAATGGGAGTAGAGGAAATTTAAGTGATGAAGAACTAGAATCCCTAGAGTCCAGACATTCAAAACAAAGCATGTTTATTAAGTGGTATCCTTTTACTTATTTCTCCCATTTTTTAAAATAAATAAAACCTTCAGACACATACAAGTGAAACATATCCTTCAAAGTGCAGTTACATTTCCACCCCACTCCCAAGAATCACATAAAGCTTTGTCAAGTAACCAAAAAAACCTCAAAAGGCGACCCTCAGTCCCTTCCCCTAGCAATGAGCGTACATGGGGCTGTAGTGCTGCCCAGCAAGCCAGAGCCTGGCTCTTTTGGCTGTTCAAGGCTGTTGCAAGAGGCAGGCTGCAGAAGAAAGTGGGAAGTTTAAGATACATAGTATGAAACAAAACCAACCTGTTTAGAGTCCAGAGAGTTCATTACCAGAGTAAGTTAGTTACTTTGGGAGGCCTGGAAAGAACTAGGCCGGTTACAGTCATGAGTGATGGACCAGAACCGCTGCTGTCACTGCTGTAAGGTGGGTGCTGGCAGCAGGCTGGGACAAGGGACTGAGTCACTTTGCCAGAAGTCATGGAATTCCCTTCCCCCCAGAAGCACCAGCACCAGCTGCCTCCCAGGATTAGTTTGAGTCTGCCTGTACTCCCAGCACACCAAGTAACAGAAGAAAGAGAAAGAGAAGATGAGGTCTGATGATCAAGTTCCGTCTGACGCAAGCCCTCTTTCCTGATGTCTTTAAAGTAGATGTCTGTTCTGACTAAGGGCACTGAGCAGAGGTATGGGCACACACAAGTCACTTAAGTCCTTTCAAGCTCATAGAAAATTGCTGTAAATAAGACTTAGTGCCACTTAAACTACCATGATTTTGACCTCATCGTTCTCATCAGCACGGTAGAAGAAGGGAATGCAGGGGTTTTCCAGCAGGGAGCCCAGCCTCTCCTGAGGGTTCTGGATTTCTCGGAGAAGCTGCATTATTTGCTTTGCTGTGGGGTCCTCTTGGCTTGGCTGAGCAGCTTTACTGTCAGTGGGGGAGAAACCGGATTGATGAACAGCAGCCTGTTGCTCTGCTTCATCTGATAAATTCACTTCCCGTAACCCTGTAAGGAACACAGACAAGGCGGGCAGGTAACTCTTCCCATCCACGCACAACAGCAAGACCTCAGGTTATCCCATTTCACAGAACTTGTCCTGGCTGCAGCTTACCTTCTCCATCAGTAGCGTTGAGTTCAATGCGCCTCTCCACTGGAAGTACACTTTCATTCTGGCTTGCTAACAGCTCAGGGTTTTGAGCAGCTTCTACATACTTGCTGTACCATTCATTTCTTTCCCTGACCAGACGCATCACTAAATCCTGCAGTTCCAGTAGTTTCATCTGCACCAAAGTAAAGGAAAGCCTATGAAATACGCACATCCCGGTGGCTGCAAACACCGCACTACAGTTTGCAGACCTGCCTCTGTCACAAAATTAGCAACTTTCAAGTTAAAGCTAGCTGAGGAGGAACACGTGAAGGTTTGGACTATGCAAGTGCTCCCCAGACCTGCCCTGCTTGTAGTAGTACTACAGAAAAGATTCCTTGCCTTCATCTCTTCCTTATCCTGAGCCAATCTGCTGATGTACTCCTCTTTCTCCTGGTGTCGCTGTTTGAGGATAGCCCTTTGACTCTGGTATAATGCAATGTACTCGCCTAGAATACAAGAGAAGCGTCAGGAGTAAGCGTTAGCATGATTAGGGTACAAGCCTTATGGTGAGCACAGAACTCTGTGGCGTGAGGATCCAGCACATCCACCCCTGAGCTGGAGATCCAGCACAGTTAGGCAGCAGCAGGAGACCTGAACTGCTCAGGTCCTCAGTTGGAGGGCTCCAGGTCCAAAAGCTAATGGGGACCTTCTGTTCCTCAA